GGTATGTTTTGGTGAACAGGAGACACAAAAAGCAAAAGGAAACTGAACGTGTTTTTACTGTTTTAATGGCTTATCAAGAGCACAACTGAAACATAACATCTGAAACTATGTTATGTTTCAGTGCTGAAACATGCCCACAGCTGTTTTATAGAAGGAAAACCTCCTTCACTTCATGAAATCTCTGCGGCACCAGGAGGCAGCGGGAGGGTTAACTCAGCCTCTGAGAAGAGGAGCGCGCGGTGCCTTTCACGCACCTCCTTTCACGCACCTCCTTTCACGCACGCCTTCACTGCGTTTACCTTCAGAGTCAATAGAAAGGCTAAAGAGCGACCGCAGGCTGATGTGTTTTAACCACACACACACATACATACACACACACACCACACACACACACACACACTACCTCAACACACACACACACACCTCGACACACACCCACACACACACACACCTCTACAACACCCACACACACACACACACACACACACACACACACGCACACACACACCACGGCAACACACACACACACTACACACACACACGCGACACACACCCACACACCACTACACGCACACACCACAACACAGCACACACACACACACACACCCTCTACACACCCCACACACACACACACATCTACACACACACACACACACCCACACACCCCTACAACACACACACACCCCACCACACACACACACCACACCCACACACACACCCCACACACCCACACACACACACACACACACACACACAAACTGCCCGATTATTCCCCCTTTTATTAGTTTTATAAAGGAGATCTCCGGTCACCAAGGCGTGAGTGTGTGTGTGTGTGTGTGTGTGGTGTGTGTGTGTGTGTGTGTGTGTGTGTGTGTGTGTGTGTGTGTGTGTGTGTGTGTTCGTTCTGTGTTTATTTCCCTTTTATAAAACAGTAAGGTAACTTTGTCGAAGTCGGGATAACGGACTTCATATAATTTCAACAATAAAGAGAGCAAAAAAAAGCAAACGTTGATTTACCTCCAAGTGCTTTTTGAGATTAGACGTGGAGTCCTTTGATGCAGACAGTGTATTGATGGTTGGAAGACACAAGGTACACTGGACCGTGATATTCTTCCCATGGTCTTGTTTAAATTCGAAGTGGTGTCGATATCGCCACGATTTAAACGCAGACTTTTGTTCCTCCATGTTTCGTTATTGTCTCACTGAGTGGACCCGCACATTTTTTTCAAACGCTCCCTTTTTTGGTCCATCTGCGGCGGTAATAGGTTTTGTGCGCTGTGATGATTCGGCTGTACCTTTAGTAATGAATATTAAATGTTGTGAGGAAATCTTTCCACCAATAATTCCAATAAGTAATCCAAAATGTATTCACTTCAGGTTTACGAAAGTAACTGTAATCAGATTACTCGTTTTTCAAATGTAACGCGAGCTGAATACAGTTACTTGATTTTTGTATTCTGATTACGTAACGCCGTTACATGTATTCCGTTACAACCCAACCCTGGTAGTATGTAGCGTGTAGTATGTAGTGTGTAGCATGTAGCATGTAGCATATAGCTTGCTGATAACTTTTCTCTCTCCTCAGTGCGGCTCCATGACAGCATCTCAGAAGAGCTTCATCATTACCTCATCTTCGACCTGTGAGTACCATAATCCTACCTGTATGTTACGTTAACATACCGCAACGTTACGGTATGTTAACATGACATAACATGACATACCATACCGTAACGTACCATACCATTACGGTATGTTACGTTATTACGTTATGGTATGTTACGTTATGATGTTTTCTCTCTCAGGATAACAGGTGGAGAGTTATTCGAAGATATTGTAGCCCGAGAGTATTACAGTGAAGCTGACGCCAGGTAGGAAATACTCAACAACAAACGAGACTTCACTTGATTGGTCTACTGTCACTGAACCCCTGACCTCTGACCTCTGACCTGTCTCTGTGCAGTCACTGTATCCAGCAGATTCTGGAGGCCGTGCTTCACTGTCACCAGATGGGCGTCGTCCACCGAGACCTGAAGGTACACGTTAGCATCTCTAATGTTAACCTGTGGGCAGAGTTAGCCTGTTAGCATCTCTAATGTAAACCAGTGGGCAGAGTTAGCCTGTTAGCATCTCTAATGTTGGCCTGTGGGAGGAGTTAGCCTGTTAGCTTCTCCAATGTAAACCTGTTGGCAGAGTTAGCCTGTTAGCTTCTATAATGTAAACCTGTGGGCAGAGTTAGCCTGTTAGCTTCTCTAATGTAAACCCGTGGGCAGAGTTAGCCTGTTAGCATCTCTAATGTAAACCAGTGGGAGGAGTTAGCCTGTTAGCTTCTCTAATGTAAACCAGTGGGCAGAGTTAGCCTGTTAGCTTCTCTAATGTAAACCTGTGGGCAGAGTTAGCCTGTTAGCTTCTCTAATGTAAACCTGTGGGCAGAGTTAGCCTGTTAGCTTCTCTAATGTAAACCAGTGGGAGGAGTTAGCCTGTTAGCTTCTCTAATAGAGTGGCGAAGTCACGCCCATCTACTTCCGGTCCATGGGACCTTATTTCGGAAAAATAATGTATTGCAGTCAATGGAGAGAGAAAACTTATCTTTCGATCCCGTTTGAATTGTGCCATGAATTACACATATGATGTTTGTCAATCTTAAAAAATAATTTCCATGTCAAAAAAGTCACAGTTTGTCGTAAAACTGTTGAAATATAAGACTATGAAAAATACGCAACTAGAAAGACTACAAATCCCAGAGTCGCGTAAGTGATGTCACAATTGTTTTCCTCCACTAAGAGATAGCTAAGATCAGCGCCATATAGATATAATCTATCTATATGGCCAGGGTTGCCAACTTTGGGTACCTGGCTGGAGTGAGATTTTGATATCATGGGTTTAATTCGGTTTAATTACACATATGCGCACGAAATGACTGCTATCGTGTCAGCAGCGGGACCTTAGCATATAGGATATATATACAATATACAAATACACAATAATGGACACAGACTATAAAGGGCACACAGTTTCATTCACTAATGAAAGTCAAACATGTTTGTTTCCACTGTTTTATTGTGTGCCTGTCGCGATAAGCAATTAATTGACTTATCGTACGATAAATAAAAATGAACTCGATAACTTTTCTGACCTCGATAAATTGCCATTTACATGAGGATGTGACTAGCAGTTTGAAAGGATGTACTTGAATTATAATTATATATTATCATTATGTCAGTGGTCTAAAATGGTCATACAACGGTGCCGACAATATTATCGTTTATCGCAATAATTTCCGGGAAAATGTATCCAACAAAATTAATTATCGTGAGAGGCCTATACATGAAACACACACACACAAACAAATCTACAGACTTACTCCAAACTGCCAAATATATTAATTAACACACTCTCACTCTCATATACTCTTTGACTCTATTTTGGCCTAGTAGAACAATAAGCAGCAGACTTTTACTTTTTTATCATTTCTACTGGATCTTAGATCTGCGCATGCGCAATACGGGTCGGCAGTTGCGGCTCCAGAGTATTTTTGTTGGGTAAGCTATGGTAGGGCTAACCCATAGTGGTGGGGCTCAAGTCAGTATTTGCAATGTAATTACATACACGCTCCCCCCGACAGTGAAACGCCACGCGTGAGGTTTAGATTATTTCCCTGTCTCAATCCAAATTGAACTGTATGAAATAAAAAGGCACATTTGTCTTGTAGTAAATAAAAGTGGAGCCAATCCTGCAATTTCCCCACAAGTGAAAGAGTTGAGATGCTGAAAACCCAACCCCTGCGGGGGGGTCTGGGGGGATTCTCCCCCAGGAGATTTTTTGAAATACTAACATAAAATACACATTCTGGTACTCTCTTGAGAAGAAAAATAAATACATCTATTACTACACGACATATTTAAAAAAATGAATGCCATTTTAGTTTTTTGTTACTTTGTTCTGAAAGCTGAACCTGCTGCTCCTCACAGAGAGAAGAGGGAAGAGGCTGTGTGAATTACTTTACATTGTGGATAAGGGTGGATAGCCCCCATTGTTCTGTGTGTCAAAATGAAAGACAGCCCACACACCTATCAATCATCAAACCGTGGGGTCTTATTTCATTACGTGTTGATTTCTATCAACAAGTAATGTTGTATCGATGTATAGAGATGTACTACCACAAAAGTATTCTCCGTTCGGACTTCCTGCAACAACACCACGCCGTTATCGTGATTCTGATTGGCCAGAAGACATTATCAAAGATGTTCTATTCAGAAGACGATCACTACGTGACAAAAGTTTTCAAAACCGTTTCTAGTCTTCGGTATTCTTGTTTTTGGCGTGAGAATAGTTTGGGCAGCGTGAGAGCGTGAGATTGAGAGTGAAAGCGTGTGTCACACGCCAGATGCGTGAGAGTTGGCAACCCTGAATATGGCGCTGGCTAAGATAAGATAACTTTAACAAGATGCCTGTGTGCTTAGTACCAGGTTGTTATCATACCAGCAATGGGTCTTGCTCGTTCTTTTGCTTCCCGTCTGATGAAAGGACCAGGAGTGGCTTGATCAAGTTAGCTACCTAGCTAGTAGCTAGCACGTTAGTTAGCATTACAGCCTTGTCATTTTTATTAACCTTAACATGAAGTAACATTAAGTAACCCAAAATGTTAAACAGTAAGAGTAGTAGTCATATTTCGTGAACCCTTTGAAGAGTACTGTCACCGGTGTGATCATTTTATAATACACAATATAAGCCCGGGGGAGAAATGCTAACGCTAACGCTAGCATCGGCGATCGGCGATCTTTTCTACTTCATGCTATCTGCACAAATGGTTGAAATTAAAAAGACCAGGCAGTTCAGAGAGAATCAAAGGAAGGCAGGCAGGCAGCTTTGCATGACATTCTTCTGGACGTGTTTCATTGTGGTGATAGTGAGGGTAGTCAATCGTTTTGTTGACAAGACAGTAGTGACGGCCATCTTGGTGACGTGTGTTGTTGACCAAAGATGTAGTTCATTGAGCGTTTCACACAAACAAATGTGTTACTTCACAGTTTTACGACACGTTTTATTTTTTTTGACTTGCAAAATTATCTTTTAAATTGACAAACATCATATGTGTAATTCGTGGCACAATTCAAACGGGATCGAAAGATAATCTTTCTCTCTCCATTGACTTCAATACATAATTTTTCCGAAATAAGGTCCCATGGAGGTCCACCGGAAGGGGAGGGACTTCGCCACTCTATGTAAACCTGTGGGCAGAGTTAGCCTGTTAGCTTCTCTAATGTAAACCTGTGGGCAGAGTTAGCCTGTTAGCTTCTCTAATGTAAACCTGTTGGCAGAGTTAACCTGTTAGCTTCTCTAATGTAAACCAGCGGGAGGAGTTAGCCTGTTAGCTTCTCTAATGTAAACCAGTGGGCAGAGTTAGCCTGTTAGCTTCTCTAATGTAAACCTGTGGGCAGAGTTAGCCTGTTAGCTTCTCTAATGTAAACCTGTTGGCAGAGTTAACCTGTTAGCTTCTCTAATGTAAACCAGCGGGAGGAGTTAGCCTGTTAGCTTCTCTAATGTAAACCAGTGGGCAGAGTTAGCCTGTTAGCTTCTCTAATGTAAACCTGTTGGCAGAGTTAACCTGTTAGCTTCTCTAATGTAAACCTGTGGGCAGAGTTAGCCTGTTAGCTTCTCTAATGTAAACATGTGGACAGAGTTTGCCTGTTATCTTCTCTAATGTAAACCTGTGGGCAGAGTTAGCCTGTTAGCATCTCTAATGTAAACCTGTGGGCAGAGTTAGCCTGTTAGCTTCTCTAATGTAAACCTGTGGGCAGAGTTAGCCTGTTAGCTTCTCTAATGTAAACCAGTGGGCAGAGTTAGCCTGTTAGCTTCTCTAATGTAAACCTGTGGGCATAGTTAGCCTGTTAGCATCTCTAATGTGAACCTGTTGGCAGAGTTAGCCTGTTAGCTTCTCTAATGTAAACCTGTTGGCAGAGTTAGCATGTTAGCTTCTCTAATATAAACCTGTGGGCAGAGTTAGCCTGTTAGCTTCTCTAATGTAAACCTGTGGGCAGAGTTAGCCTGTTAGCTTCTCTAATGTAAACCTGTGGGCAGAGTTAGACTGTTAGCTTCTCTAATGTAAACCTGTTGGCAGAGTTAGTATGTTAGCTTCTCTAATGTAAACCTGTGGGCAGAGTTAGCCTGTTAGCTTCTCTAATGTAAACCTGTGGGCAGAGTTAGCCTGTTAGCTTCTCTAATGTAAACCAGTGGGCTGAGTTAGCCTGTTATCTTCTCTAATGTAAACCAGTGGGCAGAGTTAGCCTGTTAGCTTCTCTAATGTAAACCAGTGGGCAGAGTTAGCCTGTTAGCTTCTCTAATGTAAACCAGTGGGCAGAGTTAGCCTGTTAGCATCTCTAATGTAAACCTGTTGGCAGAGTTAGCCTGTTAGCTTCTCTAATGTAAACCAGTGGGCAGAGTTAGCCTGTTAGCTTCTCTAATGTAAACCAGTGGGCAGAGTTAGCCTGTTAGCTTCTCTAATGTAAACCTGTGGGCAGAGTTAGCCTGTTAGCTTCTCTAATGTAAACCTGTGGGCAGAGTTAGCCTGTTAGCTTCTCTAATGTAAACCAGTGGGCAGAGTTAGCCTGTTAGCATCTCTAATGTAAACCTGTGGGCAGAGTTAGCCTGTTAGCATCTCTAATGTAAACCTGTGGGCAGAGTTAGCATGTTAGCATCTCTAATGTAAACCTGTGGGCAGAATTAGCCTGTTAGCATCTCTAATGTAAACCTGTGGGCAGAGTTAGCCTGTTAACATCTCTAATGTAAACCTGTGGGCAGAGTTAGCATGTTAGCATCTCCTGTGTCTGCAGCCAGAGAACCTGCTGTTAGCATCGAAGTCTAAAGGAGCCGCGGTGAAACTCGCCGACTTCGGCCTTGCCATCGAGGTCGAAGGAGAACAGCAGGCGTGGTTTGGTGAGTACACACACATACTAATACTACACTTATACTACTGTAATACTACACTAATACTGCAGTATTACTGCTGTAATACTGTAGTATTAGTGCTGTAATACTACACTAATACTACACTAGTACTGAAGTAATACTGAAGTAATATACTGCAGTAATACTGCTGTATATTACTTTTATTTCTGTTATGAATTAATGTTGTTTTATTTTATAATAAAGCTTAATAATGATGTGTGTGTGTGTGTGTTTGTTTCCAGGCTTTGCAGGGACCCCGGGTTACCTGTCCCCGGAGGTTTTGAGGAAGGATCCTTACGGGAAAGCAGTGGACCTCTGGGCCTGTGGTCAGTCTCTCCTCTGATGCTTCCTTCTTTCCTTTCCTCGTCTCCTTGTGTCCTCTCCTCTCTCAGGTGTGTGTGTTTCCTCAGGTGTGTGTGTTTCTCTCTCTCATGTGTGTGTGTTTCTCTCTCTCAGGTGTGATTCTCTACATCTTATTGGTCGGTTATCCTCCGTTCTGGGATGAAGATCAACATCGTCTCTATCAGCAGATCAAAGCTGGAGCCTATGATGTAGGTCACCTGTCGGTCACTCACCTGTAGATCACCTGTGGATCACCTGTGGATCACTTGTAGGTTACTCACCTGTAGATCACCTGTAGATCACCTGTAGATCACCTGTGGATCACCTGTAGATCACCTGTAGGTTACTCACCTGTGGATCCCCTGTGGATCACCTGTAGATCACCTGTAGGTTACTCACCTGTGGATCACCTGTGGATCACCTGTAGATCACCTGTATATCATCTGTCGATCACCTGTAGTGTAGATCACCTGTAGATCACCTGTAGATCACCTGTAGATCACCTGTAGTGTAGATCACCTGTAGATCACCTGTAGATCACCTGTAGTGTAGATCACCTGTAGATCACCTGTAGATCACCTGTAGATCACGTGTAGATCACCTGTGGATCACCTGTAGATCACCTGTAGTGTTTCCTTGCAGTTCCCGTCCCCTGAGTGGGACACGGTGACTCCTGAAGCCAAAGACCTGATCAACAAGATGCTGACCATCAACCCAGCCAAGAGGATCACAGCAGCTGAGGCCCTGAAGCACCCCTGGATCTCTGTGAGACACACACACACACACACACACACACACACACACACACACACACACACACACACACACACACACACACACACACACACACACACACACACACACACACCACCCACACCCTCCCTCCCTAACCCCCCCTCTCCCCTCAGCATCGCAGCACCGTGGCTTCCTGTATGCACAGACAGGAGACGGTCGAGTGTCTGAAGAAGTTCAACGCCAGGAGGAAGCTGAAGGTCGGTGACATCGTTAAAGTCCAGATGTTTGGCTCTTATTGTGAAAATGCTGACAATGATTAATATCCCCCTCAGGGAGCCATCCTCACCACCATGTTGGCCACCAGGAACTTCTCAGGTGAGCTGCTTCCTGTGTGTGTGTGTGTGTGTGTGTGTGTGTGTGTGTGTGTGTGTGTGTGTGTGTGTGTGTGTGTGTGTGTGTGTGTGTGTGTGTGTGTGTGTGTGTGTGGTGTGTGTGTGTGTGGTGTGGGTGTGTGTGTGTGTGTGTGTGTGCGTGCGTGCGTGCGTGTGTGTGCCTGTGTGTGTGTGTGTGTGTGCAGCTGTCCTAAGGTTTCAAACACACTGAGGAACCACAGAGAGAGAGCCAGAGAGAAGCTGCATTTAAAGGTGGGGTAGGTAAGTTTGAGAAACCGGCTCGAGATACACTTTTTGTTATATTCCATGGAATGCTCTTAACATCCAGATAGCAATGAATATCTGAAGTGCTTTGACAAAAAATCCATAAACAAATGTCATCTGTGGAAGCCGTAGTACTGTAAAAAGCACGACCAATCATTTTAGCCGGCCCAGCTAAAATAACTGGATGGCCTACCTGCCTGTCAGCCTTCCATCTGTGCACAAACCTATCTCGTGCCCTCATTGGTCATGTGCGCGTTCGTGTGTGTTGGAGGAGGGGCTCTGTAAGGAAGAAGCAGATTTTCTCCGGTCGTGTATTTTCAAATTCTAGCGATCTCGAGCCGGTTTCTCAAACTTACCTACCCTACCTTTAAATATAAATACATTACTTTTTAATGTGTTTATATCTAATGTATTTTCTTCTATTATAAGATACCCTATCCTCTTCCTGTGCTGTAGAGTGTTCCATAGTGACATCACTGCGGAACACTCACGCTGCTTCTATTGGCTAGCGCTCCAACACATCAGAGCAGACTGGGCTCTGGTTTCAGACAGAGGGTGAGCAGCACAGGCAGTATGAGAACAATACACCTGAACATCAGCAGGAGAGGACTCTTTAAAGTAGAGACACTACATACTGATATACACCTGAACATCAGCAGGAGAGGACTCTTTAAAGTAGAGACGTGTTGTGTTCAGGCGTAATGAGTGAAAGTGAGTGTTGAACCGACAGGAATGTGTTTCTGCTCTCGAGTGGATCCTAAATTTGGCCTCCACTCCCCTCAGTGACCCAGCTGCCTGTCTCTATAACTGTCTGTCTCTCTCTGTAGAGTCTTTGACTGTCTGTCTGCCTGTCTCTATAACTGTCTGTCTCTCTCTGTAGAGTCTTTGACTGTCTGTCTGCCTGTCTCTATAACTGTCTGTCTCTCTCTGTAGAGTCTTTGACTGTCTGTCTGCCGGCTGTCGAGCAGGAGCTCTGGATTTATGTGTTTCCTCTGAAAGTGGAGCTTCAGTTGTATTCTGAAGTGTCTCCTGTGCGATGGTGTCTCTCCTGTTCTTGGTGTTTGTCCCGTTCTTTGTGACTTTGATGATCCTCTTCCTCATCGTCTTCATCCCCCGATCAGGAGGGAAGAGCGGCAACAAGAAGGCCGACGGAGTCAAGGTACACACTCTTCACACATCCTTTGCTCGAGTAGAAGTACACACATCCTTTACTCAAGTAGAAGTACACACATCCTTTACTCAAGTAGAAGTACACACATCCTTTACTCAAGTAGAAGTACACACATCCTTTACTCAAGTAGAAGTACACACATCCTTTACTCAGGTAGAAGTACACACATCCTTTACTGAAGTAGAAGTACAGATACTCGTGTTTAAAAATACTCTGTTGAAAGTAGAAGTACTGACTAAACTTCTTTACTCAAGTCAAAGTAAAGAGGGCTTTGAAATGTACTTCAGTAAAAAGTACCCATAACTAGCAGCTGTTTTAAAGAGTACCTGACCTCCCTTTATATTAATAGAACAATAATGTCATTGTTAGCTAATGAATGTTTCCATGCTGAACAACGGCAACATGACAAACGTTTTCATTGGTCCCTCTTCTTTAGAGAAGACCAGGAAATGATGGATACACGGATCGTGTTCAAATCAATAGGCACGCAATGACTCTAAATAATAATGATCACGCCACCAAACACACATTCAAACTAAAGGAACCAGCCTGTTTGGGAAATGTAAGGAGTAGAAAGTACAGGTATTTGTGTTCAACATGTAAGAAGTAGAAAGTACAGGTATTTGTGTTCAACATGTAAGAGGTAGAAAGTACAGGTATTTGGGTTCAACATGTAAGAAGTAGAAAGTACAGGTATTTGTGTTCAACATGTAAGAAGTAGAAAGTACAGGTTATTTGTGTTCAAAATGTAAGAAGTAGAAAGTACAGGTATTTGTGTTCAACATGTAAGAAGTAGAAAGTACAGGTGTTTGTGTTCAACATGTAAGAAGTAGAAAGTTCAGGTATTTGTGTTCAACATGTAAGAAGTAGAAAGTACAGGTATTTGGGTTCAACATGTAAGAAGTAGAAAGTTCAGGTATTTGTGTTCAACATGTAAGAAGTAGAAAGTACAGGTGTTTGTGTTCAACATGTAAGAAGTAGAAAGTACAGGTATTTGTGTTCAACATGTAAGAAGTAGAAAGTACAGGTGTTTGTGTTCAACATGTAAGAAGTAGAAAGTACAGGTATTTGGGTTCAAAATGTAAGAAGTAAAAAGTGGTCAGAAAAACAAGTAGTGGAAGTACTGATACCAGAGAAATGTACTTAAGTACAGTAACGAAGTATTTGTACTCCACTACTTCCCATTCACAATATCCCCGTCCAAACTCTGTTCAACCACCTGATTGGCTCTTATTAGATAAGACCTGCCATCTTTAAGTTTGTCAGCCAATCAGATGGCCGTGTGAGCTGGTGTTGTTGTTGTTGTAGGAATCATCTGAGAGCACCAACACCACCATCGAGGACGAAGACACCAGAGGTAAACAAAACTGTCTTTATTATCGTTATTATTATTGTTATTATTTATTATTGTTATTATTATTGTTATTATTCTGTGTGTCTCTCAGTGAGGAAGCAGGACATCATTAAAGTGACGGAGCAGCTCATCGAGGCGATCAGCAACGGAGACTTTGAGAGCTACACGTAAGACTCTTATTGTGAAAATCCACCCATTGTGGAGTAGTCTGTGCTCTTATTGTGAAAACCCTTTGCTTCCTGCAGTAAGATGTGCTCTTATTGTGAAAACCCTGTGTTTCCAGCAGTAAGATGTGCTCTTATTGTGAAAACCCTGTGCTTCCTGCAGTAAGATGTGCTCTTATTGTGAAAACCCCGTGCTTCCTGCAGTAAGATGTGCTCTTATTGTGAAAACCCCGTGCTTCCTGCAGTAAGATGTGCTCTTATTGTGAAAACCCTGTGCTTCCTGCAGTAAGATGTGCGACCCCTCTGTGACGGCCTTTGAACCCGAGGCTCTGGGGAATCTGGTCGAAGGCCTGGACTTCCACCGCTTTTATTTTGAAAACTGTGAGCAGACTCTCTCTCCTGTAACAATATAAGACTCTTATTGTGGTACTTCCTGTGTGTAACGCTGTGTCCCCTCCCCCTCAGTGTGGTCTAAGAACAGTAAGCCGGTGCACACCACCATCCTGAACCCTCACATCCACCTGGTGGGCGAGGAGGCCGCCTGCATCGCCTACATCCGGGTCACTCAGTACATCGATGCTAACGGCACGCCCCGCACCGCCCAATCAGAAGAGACCAGAGTCTGGCACCGCCGGGACGGGAAGTGGCAGATCGTCCACTTCCACCGCTCAGGATCCCCCTCCACGCTCAGCAAGTGAGGGTGTGCTCTTATTGTGAAAATCTCCCCCTCCAGGCTCAGCAAGTGAGGGGTGTGCTCTTATTGTGAAAATCTCCCCCTCCAGGCTCAGCAAGTGAGGGTGTGCTCTTATTGTGAAAATCTCCCCCTCCACGCTCAGCAAGTGAGGGTAGTCTGTGCTCTTATTGTGAAAATCTCCCCCTCCACGCTCAGCAAGTGAGGGTAGTCTGTGCTCTTATTTTGAAAATCTCCCCCTCCATGCTCAGCAAGTGAGACTAGTCTGCGCTCTTATTGTGAAAATCTCCCCCTCCACGCTCAGCAAATGAGGCTAGTCTGCGCTCTTATTGTGAAAATCTTCCTAGTGTTAAAAAGTAGTCTGCGCTCTTGTTGTGAACATCTTCCTAGGGTTAAAAGGTAGTCTGTGCTCTTATTGTGAAAATCTTCCTAGTGTTAAAAAGTAGTCTGCGCTCTTATTGTGAAAATCTTCCTAGTGTTAAAAAGTAGTCTGCACTCTTATTGTGAAAATCTTCCTAGTGTTAAAAAGTAGTCTGCGCTCTTATTGTGAAAATCTTCCTAGTGTTAAAAAGTAGTCTGCGCTCTTATTGTGAAAATCTTCCTAGTGTTAAAAAGTAGTCTGCGCTCTTATTGTGAAAATCTTCCTAGTGTTAAAAAGTAGTCTGCGCTCTTATTGTGAAAATCTTTAAACAAGTGAGGGGCGGGGCTTCCGTGATATTTACTAAGCTGTGAAAATCTTGTTTTTTGAAAATGTTTTTGTTCCTCCAGCTGACTGCCTGAGGGGGCGGGACTTTGATGGGGCCACAGGCGTCGCCTTGACAACTGATTGATTGACAGCGGGCCGGGCGTGTGACATCACACAGGAAGTTTGAGAGGAGAGGGGCGGGGCCAGCGTTGCACAATCAGCCAATCAGCTTCCTCTTCTCAGCTCTTTGGGCTCCAGCCACGCCCCCTTGTGCTCAGCCAATCAGCTGCTCCGAATGTAACGACGCGTGGAAACCTCGTAACTCCGTCAGGATGATTGACAGGACAGAGGACCGCCTTAACACACCTGTAATTAGATCTTCATTAGCCCCCAAACACCTCAATATTAGAATGAATTCTGGAGATACGAGGTTTCCTGAAACTGTGTTTACTCTTTATACTGGTTGCCATGGTTACTAATTACTATTAGACCCGTTATCTCGTTAAGACAACCAATTAACACATAGGTAATTAATGACGTCAGGTGATGACGGTCTGATAACGAGATAACTGGGTCTGAAGGTGGTGAGAGAGACTGAATGTACCTCTCTCACGGTAACTTCCTGCAATAATCAATCATTATTACTAATGATTGATTATTACAGTGATATTAAATATTATGATTGTAAAAGTATTTATCGTTTTGTTCATTTCTGCTTCCATCGGGCTCCGGGAGCTCCGAGCTTCCACCTGCGATCTTCCATCACCCCCCCCACACCTGTGCTAACGAGCAGGGCCTTAACGAGCAGGGCCTTAACGAGCAGGGCCTTAACGAGCAGGGCCTTAACGAGCGGGTACTAAACGAGCGGGTACTAAACAAGCGGGTACTTAGCGAGCATGGCTTTAACGAGCGGGTACTTAACGAGCATGGCCTTAACGAGCTGGACCTTAACGAGCTGTCTGCTGCCTCGTTAGTTCAGATGAAGAAGAGAGGGAGAACATGACGGTGTTTCGGTCCTGAAACCTGAATCACGTTAAATATATAATAAATCTACGGAGGCCCAGGAGGGGCAACAGGACGCTAATGACCTGTCATCAATGAGTCGTTATGAGACCTGAAAGTGAACATTACGTTTTAATATTAGTGAGTGATGACAGCTTCCTGTTTGTCTCCTCTGGGCCTCCGTACCTCAGGTGTTGTTAACGAGGAACTCACTTTATAACATGACCCCCCCCCCCCCCCACCTTCAGTACATCATGGATTCAGTTCTGCATGAAGATGCTCCTCCTCCTCCTCCCCCCCCCTCCTCAGTGTTTACCTGTACAGGTGTTTCTGCATGAGATTTGACTTTGTGTTTCCTGTTTCGGCTCTGCTTCGTTTTGCCGCCATTTTGTTTTTCGGGCTCCTCCCGGTGACTCGGGACTTGTTAGCGTTGTTAGCATTTCCCACCGGGATCAATGGTGTGTGCTAGCAGCGAGCTAACGAGGTGTTTGAGCTGATATTACTATAACTCTAAATATATAAAGCTTCTTAGTGTTATAGCTCTTATTATTATGGTGTGCATTAAAGCTACTGTCCCCGCGGCGCCGTTAGCTCGGGGTGTTTCAGCCCGTTAGCTAGGTGGCGCCGCGGAGCTACCGCTATGTTGCTAAGCTAACTCTGAGTTTTGTAATCTTCGGGGCGTTTCAGTGTTTTTGCTCGAATAACTTGCGGTGTTATTCTAACGAGCGAAACCTGTTAGCATTGTTATCTTAGCCGGTGCTCAGGTTTTTTTAACAAGCTAACGTGCTAATGTGTGGCTAACAGCATGCAGTGGTTACTGTCAGGGATGCTAACAATGCTAACAGTGCTAACCAGCCGTTTCACAGGAAATTAGAAACTGACTTCTTCAGACTGAAAAAAAACCTTTTTCTAGTTTATCTTATTGTCTTATTATCTTATTATCTTATTATCTTATTAATGTTATCTAACCTCTCCCTGAAACGTCTCCACTGGACTCCTTTGTTTACTTCCTGAACACAGTGACATCATTAAATAACACTCACGCTCCTATTGGCTAGCGCTCCAACACATTGTACGTGATAGGCTAAGGGGCGGGACATCTCTAATCTGGTTGACCAATCACAACAGAGCCGGCCAGCTAACCAATCAGAGCAGACTGGGCTCTGGTTTCAGACAGAGGGTGAAAAGAGGAGCTGCAGCACGGGCAGTGTGAGAAAAATAAAGAGCTTTCTGAACATTAGAGCATGGAGACATGTCCCAGGAGAAACAGGTATATTATTTATTATGGTTTGATGTTACAGGTGTGTTACCTGATGTTACAGGTGTGTTACCTGATGTTACAGGTGTGTTACCTGATGTTACAGGTGTGTTACCTTGCTTTCAGTCTGAAGCTCAGCTCTGATTTCCCGCTCTGCAGAATAACAATCAGCTTTTATACAACCATGGATATTTTACTGTATTAACTAATGCTGCATGCTCTGTGTGTGTGTGTTTGTGTGTGTGTGGCTGTGTGCGTGTGTTTGTGGTTGTGTGTGTGTGTGTGTGTGTGTGTGTGTTTGTGGTTGTGTGTGTGTGTGTGTGTGAGAGAGAGTATGTTTTTAATCTTTTTTGTAGTTTTTGGAGTATTTCTTCTGAACCGTGTTTAAAGTGTTTCTGTAAATAAACTGAGGTGTTCACACGCTGTCTTCTGATTGGTCCGTGTATCTCTACTGCAGTAACTGAAGTTACCTACTGTAACTCCAGCTTCTATGAGTATTGGCGTAGCCCTCTAAGGCTATCGCTATTGGGTAATCCCCCTGCGCACCCGCGCAGCACTGAAACACTTGTAGTCCACGCCCGCCCGCAAGGTGGGCCCCACCCTCGGGCTCCCTTCCGGTATAAATAGGAAGGAGGCCCGACAATCTGCTCCCACACAAAACAACTTTTCTTCAGCTATTCGTGGAGCCAGTGGGGCCCAGAACTTAGAGGGCTACGCCAATACTCATAGAAGCTGGAGTTACAGTAGGTAACTTCAGTTCTATTTCGTATATGGCTTCGCCCTCTAAGGCTATCGCTATTGGGTTAAGGGCGAAGCAAGATGTAGTCTGCGCCCCACTGGGTCGCCCCGGTACAAGAAGCACAAACACAACTGCTCAGATAATAACCCATGCCTATTGCGCCATGCGAATGGCGCATCACAGTCCCTGGAATATATCATAACATGAATATTTACCATGAGAGGACGAAGGCTGGGAATAATACATACCCGTCCGCTGTGAGAAAGTAGAGACGAAGGTCACACTTTGCCCAGTGACAGAAGAGGGGGAATAGCAGCTCTCTGCGTGCAGACAGGCAGAAGAGCGCACAGCTGGGTCCCCAACATCACTCACTCTGACAAGACACTCAGCACAGGGTGTGTCAGAGAGGAATGGGAGACATCCCTCAAATAAAATTGAATAAATGAACAGGGAGAAGACCAAGAAGCAGCAGTGCAAATGTCTTCCACTGACATTCCTCCGTGCAAAGCCGTGGAGGAGGAAACATTCCTCTGGTGGAGTGCGCATTGATGTTCTCCGGGGGATCCACCCCAGCGGAGACATATGTGACACAGCTTCACACAGCCAGTGTGACAGCCGTTGTGCAGATAGAGACTGCCCTATCGAGCGCTCTCTATAATGCACAAACAGGCGCTGAGAACGGCGCAAGGCAGCCGTGCGCGCCACATAGCAGGACAGCTGAGATGAGACGTGGCTTCTTCCTCCGACCTGCTGAGGAGGGGGAAAGAAGCCAGCCAGGGTGATCACTCTTGACCTAAAAGAGTTTGTGATGACCTTAGCCTTAGGCATGAAGCCGGGTTAGCATAACGGCTGTCCTCCCTGGCGATTGAGGTAGGCTGCCGTGGCCTGTTGGCTGGGCGAATCAACACATGTTTGATTGTACAGCAACGGGGCGAAGTGCTGGAATACTTCCCAACCCGGAGAACAGCTCCAGCACATTTACCTCTGACGCACGGGGTCGGTGCGTGGGCGAATGAACCACCTCTGGAGACCCCTCCTGTGGGGGAGACCCCGGGGAATCCCCACGTGATCAGCTGACGTCATGCTGAGCAGCTGTATCACGGAGAGGGCTGTCACCACGCTGTGGGATGTGACACGCTGGATAGGGAGCTGTCAGTTCCTCCACTCGCTGCAGCGAGAGCCGCCCTCTGCTGGCTGAGTTTTATTCCACTCGCAGATAAATGAATATCTGGGGGGGAAGAGGACAGCTCTTCTTCAAATCCATTATGGAAACCAAGCTTTGACAGATGCGATACGAGATGTAACGTCTGTAAAGCGACTTCCTCCCTGGAGCGACCAGCAATTGCAGATTGTCCAGATAAAACCACACTCTCTCATCCATCCTCTGTGTAGTGGCTCCAGCCTTCTATACACTTGATGCGAGGAGCCAGGGAACATCCGAACGGCAGACGATTGTCTGGTCTGATATTTCCCTGAAAAGAGAAACGCAGGAATTTCCTGAGTTTCAGGATGATGATAGGCTACATGGAAGTATATGTGCTTCCAGTTTATGGAAGTGAACCAGTCGTCCTGATGAACACATTCCAGCACCTGTTTGATCGTCAGCATGGGAATACTGACAGATCAAGGATGGGTCTCACTCCCCCGTTGGAGAGGCTTCTCTGTGATATGCTGTAATGGTCGTCATGACCGTGCTCTGTATGAGGCATATCTGGGACAGAGGAATGCCGCGCGCTATGCAGTTTATAAACCAATAGGTTAAAACAGCAGGCTTCTGCAGCGAATGACCCACCTCTGGAGTCTCCTCCTGTGGGGGAGACCCATGGGGATCACCGCGTGACCAGCTGACGCCAATGCCGAGCAGCTGCGTCACGGAGAGGGCTGTGCGGGTTTAGACACGCCGGAGGAGATCTCGCTGCAGTTCCTCCACTCGCTGCCGCAAGAGCCGCGCTCTGCTGGCTGAGTTTAATTCCACTCCCAGATAAATGAATGTGAGAGGGGAGAGGGCAGCTCTTCTCCAAATTCATTATGAAACCCAGGCTTTGACAGACCCCTCTGCTGATCAGCCTGCTCATACATCTGTCCATCAGACACACGCGCTACCACTCTGAGAAACACTCTGAGAGCGGGCGCACATGCTCGAGATGTGTTGTGGTCGTCATGGCGACGAGCCACGTCAGAGCCCTCGCCGCCGCAGCCCGTGAGGCAAACCAAGGTGGGCCTGGAGCAAAAGGGCTGTGAGGGAGCCTCCACACGCTGCGTTTCACTCCGGCTCTCATCATGAGGCGTGTACACGCTCAGGGGATGAGTGGAGGTGTGTGCCGTGACGTCCACATGAGGCGTCATAACTGCGCTCATGGGCTTATTATGTGTGGAGGAGACGTATCTCGGACAGAGGAATGCCGCGAGCTCTGCGGTTCATTAACCGATAGGTTAAAACCAGCAGGCTTCTGCAGCGAGCCCTGCTGTCTACTAATCAACAGATTGGTGGCAGCTGGCTTAATTAGCGAACTCTGCAGTTTATTAACCGATAGATTAAAAACTGCAGCCTCTTACACAGAGTGGGGGGTGAAAAAACACTTGATACTGATGACTCAGACAAAAAGTTGGAAAATGAACTCTCCTTTTATTTTCCACACAACCCCAACACGTCAAAAACGTCTCTGCTGCTTCCTCGGAGGCTCTGGTGGAGCAGACCAAGAGCGGGAGTGCCTCGCTCCCCGTTGACCCACCGCTGGAAGACCCCTTTGTCTCTGGGGTGGCGGGGGAGCGGAGACGTGGGACGGAGCCCCTGCAGCCGCTGAAGGCCCTGACGCCGCGGCTGTGGGCGTCTCTCCGCCTGCCGCTGTGGCCGGGTCGGACGCTGCGGCCTGCTGCGGGCGTTGATGCCGCTGTGGCCGCCCAGCAGGCTGGAGCCAGCTGACGTGCTGGCGGATGTCATCCGCCTGTTCTGCAGCCGACTTCATGGACTCCACCATGGCGTGGAACTGGGGTCCGAACAGCCCGTCCGGGCTGATTGGAGCGTCCAGAAGCACCTTCCTGGCCGTCTCCGTAAGTGACGCCTGCTGCAGCCAGAGGTGGCGCTGAATCTGCGTCACCCACGCGGCGATCCTCGCCTGGGAGACAGCGACGGACGCGCACAGTGTGAGCGCCGTGCTGGCCGCCTTGCCGATCTCCTCCGCTTCATCAGCGGCCAAGGTGGTGGACCGCTCCACCAGCGTCACCACCGAGTTTGAGAGCAGCGCGATGTTGTTCGCCGACGCCGACGCCTGAAAGGCACACTGGTGCACCCGGTCGACCTGGCGGGCAACATACTGGTCCCTGGGGGAGGCCAACGTAGGGCGCCGTCCGGCGATCACGTTGGCCTGTCTCACCCCAAAAAACGCCGTCAGGCTCGGCTCCAAAGAAGGGGTGGCTGGGAAACCAGCATCTGTGAACCCCTCCACCTTGGTGAAGGGAACAAATGTGGCCACCGGAGCCTTCAGGGTCCTCGGGTTCGCCGCCGCCCCCTCCTGGTACCTCCTGATGGCGGGGAAGCGTGGCCAGACCGGGTCACTCCTGACCGTCTGCACCCGCGAAAAAACTCCGGTCATATCGTCCGGAGCACACCTCTCCTGAGCTGGGGGAACGGGGAGACCTCTGCAGGCGGCCGCCTTGCATATGATCTCCGGTAGTTCCCCTAGGATGCCACCTATCACCGCCGTGGTGACGGAGAAGGGGACCGCGTGCTTGTCCGCCAAGCCGGCACCCTGCTCCGACTCTGTCTCCCCCGTCTGGGGGAGAGGAGGGAGGGGAGAACCGTACGGTGAACCGTGGAGGGAGGCGGGGTAGGAGTCGTCCGACACCTGCCCGGCACTCGGCTCCAGGGTCATGAGGCCGCCGTCCACGGGCTCGAAAGCCTGGACGGGCCAATCGTCCTCCTCGGCCGCAGCAGCGAGAGCGTCCGCTCTTCGCTTCCTGTCGTCCGCGGGGAGACGGGCACAGTGTGTGCATGCGACCTGCTGGCTGAGAGCCGCGTATGCGTGCTCTGGCCCCAGGCAGGATTCGCACATCGTGTGCTGGTCGTAACCCATAATGTATCCAGAGCCACATGAGGGACAATCTCTCACACAATTGCTGCTCATGATTGCTCTGTTTAATGAAAGTGTCTCTTGTGCTTCAGTAACGGGGTGCTGAAGAAAAAGAGGGAGCAGATTGTCGGGCCTCCTTCCTATTTATACCGGAAGGGAGCCCGAGGGTGGGGCCCACCTTGCGGGCGGGCGTGGACTACAAGTGTTTCAGTGCTGCGCGGGTGCGCAGGGGGATTACCCAATAGCGATAGCCTTAGAGGGCGAAGCCATATACGAAATAGAACTGTGTTCACACGCTGTCTTCTGATTGGTCCGTGTATCTCTACTGCAGTAACTGTGTTCATTATACTCATTATACTTCATTAGATATATAAAGTATAGAATATATGAAACATATAAATAAATAGCCTGATATCGTATATATTATATACACAATATATATATTGAAAAGGTTCTTTAAATATTATAATAAATAAAAACAGGGTCCTGTTTAGACCACGTGGGAGCAGCTCTCCATCAGCTATAATCAATATATCTATATAAACACTCAATCCTATATATTATAAATACAGTACAACAATAATAATACAAAGATAAACACTATATTATATAATACAGCTAACATATGAACAGTGAATTATATATACACACGTTTTAAAGTCTAATAAATATGTATAAAAACACCAGGTGTGTTTCCGGCGGTGACCACTAGGGGGCAGCCTCTCTATCAGTTATAACAAAGACATGCAAATATTACACTCATTCAAACCCTGTCTTATATATTATACATGTCATATAATAATATAACACATGAATACACCCTATATTATATAATAGAGGTAAGATATGAACAGTGAATGATATATAAACACTATTACATCTATTATATACATGTATAAAAACACCAGGTGTACTTCCGGCGGAGACCACATGGGGCAGCCTCTCTCTTTATCAGTTACAAGTACTATAAAAGTATATCTATATAAACACTAAATCCTATAACTTATTAATACAACACAACCATAATTAATACACGAATAAACTATCTCATATAATACATGAAATATATATGAATATAAGCACTTTATTGAATAAACTCGATGTATTTCTGGGGGAGACCACGTGGGGGCAGCCTCTCTTTCCCGCGCTGCGAGGCCTCATCTTGGGCACCGGAAGCGGAAGTTCTTTCCTTTCTTGTTTCTGCTCCCAAAGAGACATACAGCGGTGAGTTTCTGTCTGCTTTAATCCGAGTAATATCTGCTGTTCAGGTAACCATCCGCCCTCCTGCCTGCCCGAGCCTCACCTGGCACCGTGTTGGACTGTGTTTGTGGAGGAATTGTGTTTCTGAGTTAAACTCTTGAGTCTCTTTTTATCCGTTTTTATCTCCGACTTTCTGAGAGAAGCGAGCCGAAGAAATTCAGCGCCATTTTGTGCCCGAGCCGCGGGAAGAAACCCGTTTACTGAGCTAAATATATAATAAATAACACGGTAAAGACGAACAAGAGGCTTATCGTGTCTTTAGAGAAGCTTGTAGAGTCTTTAAAGAGAGGAAGCAGGTGGAACAGCGCAGGTGAGGCTGGAGCTAACATGCTAACAGTAGCATCGTGTGTGCAACACACTCAGTTTAACCGTTTTTAATATGAAGAGTGATTAGAATGTGATTACATGATGACGTCACACTGTTTTATAGTCAGTGTTTTTAATCAGAAGGTTGTTAGCATGTGTTAGCTTAGCTGCAGGTTGACCACCATGTGAGCAGTCAGCACGCCTGCTTCCATTACCGGACAGATCTGTAGTTATTAAATCTGAGTAAAGACAGAACAACAGACTGACCCTCAGGTGAGGGGGGGGGTGCTGCAGAGACCAGTACCCATCACTGGGGACTGGATGAGTACTCTGTGTGTTCTCTACTCTTAATATTAATGTAGAGTTCCCTGTGAAGCATCTAGTGTTTCTATGAACTCTTTTATTTTGAAGTAAGTGCTATCTGCAGGGTTAGTGTCTCTTATTTTGAAATGAGCCATTAAGACAGTTAGTGTTCTGAGAGTTTAAGGTGAATGTTTCTATGAGCTTTTATTTTGAAGTAACTGCATATCTGGCAGGGTTGGTGTCTCTGGGGGCTTTTATTTTGAAATGAGACTTTTAGACGGTTAGTGCTGAGCTTAGTTAGAAGTTAGTGTTTCTGTGTTTACACTTGACCTGCTCTCAGACAGGAAGTGCTTAGTCTACAGACAGGAAGTACCTGCACAGCTGACTCAGTGTATAGGAAGCTAAAGTACTGCTGACACCTCTAGAGTGTTACCGGCTGAAAGGGATTCACTGCTTTTTGTTCAGATCGGGTCTGAAGTAGTAACTCAATCTGTGAGTAATGCTAACAGGTTGTATGGACTTTAACTCAGTGGTGGGTTTGAGCGCTAGCCAATAGGAGTGCAGTGTTGCAGCGTGATGTCACTGTTCCAGCAGTAGTGTGTGATGTATGTAAAGGTGTGTGATGTATGTAAAGGCGTGTGGTGCAGTACGTTGGTGTTGGGATCAGGGGAGCACAGGTTCAAACCCCACTGCAGTCAGCATGTCGTTGTGTCCCTGAGACACTTCACCCCAAAGTGCTCCTGTGGGGATTGCCCACAGTATTGAGTATAGAAGTCTCTTTGGATAAAAAGCGTCTAACATGTAATGTAATGTTTAAAGTTGTGTGTTCTCCTCCTGCAGAACATGGCTCCACGTAAAGGCAAGGAGAAGAAGGAGGAGCAGGTGATCAGCCTCGGCCCTCAGGTCGCTGAAGGAGAGAACGTGTTCGGGGTCTGCCACATCTTCGCCTCCTTCAACGACACCTTCGTGCACGTCACAGACCTCTCCGGAAAGTACGTATTGTTATATTAATATATCTATATAATCTGTTATCAGTAATTGGTCTCTGTTTCACCCTGTGCTCTGATTGGTCCTCTGACTCTCACCCTGTGCTCTGATTGGTCTCTAACTCTCACCCTGTGCTCTGATTGGTCTCTAACTCTCACCCTGTGCTCTGATTGGTCCTCTGACTCACCCTGTGCTCTGATTGGTCCTCTGACTCTCCCCCTGTGCTCTGATTGGTCTCTGACTCTCCCCCTGTGCTCTGATTGGCTACAGGGAGACGATCTGCCGTGTGACCGGTGGGATGAAGGTGAAAGCTGACAGAGACGAGTCCTCTCCGTACGCCGCCATGCTGGCAGCTCAGGATGTGGCTCAGCGCTGCAAAGAGCTGGGGATCACTGCTCTGCATATTAAACTGAGGGCAACTGGGGGCAACAGGTACACACATTAAAGGAAACCGATCATGCTATATTTAAATGATATATTGTAGGGCCATACCTATATAAGGTATATTTATACGTTTCTGTTTTCAAAATACCAAACAGATCATGCGTTTTAGCCATGCCTCATTTCGCTCTATGTGCTATTTGCTGTCTATGGGTCTGATTCTGCTGACCACGCCCCCCTGCAGGAGAGGGGAGCCGTGCTCTGATCAGCTGCTGGGCTGTCAGAAGAGGGGGAGAAAAAGAGATCTCCGTCCTCCGTGTTTTATTATATAGAGTCGTTATTCATTTGTTTTAAAGCTCAATAAATAACAAAGAAGACCTTTGACCGGAAGATTTAAACTTTAACGGACATCTTGACCAGCGAAAGAAACTGAAACTGCCGCACGGTCCCCTCGTTCCTTGGAAGAGGCGGAGAGGTGGGTGTTTGTCATCTGCTGGTGGACTAACCGGAGATAATTACAGTGCTTGCCTCGACGGGGAGGGATTGCATTGAATTAAAGCAGCGGGAGCAAACGCTTGCCTCAGGGAGGGAGAGAAAAAGCCACAGCGGAGAATAAACAGAAGGGTAACCATGGTAACTATGGGTGGGAAGTCTTCGCTGCTTTTGTGGCAGACTACAGCGCCACTTACAGGCCTGGCATATGTACTACAGCGTCTCCAGCGCTTTCGAACGGCAATGGCCGTGGCTGTCTCCTCCTGATTGGTGGAGTTGGCCCAATAGCCGTAGCGCCACCGTCCTGACGTCAGGACAGTGTTCAAATCTGGATCAGTTTTTATCAGATCCGTTGCAGCCCCTTTTTTAGAGATTTGGGTATGGAGAAAAATAGAGAGGGTTGTGTTTTCTGACACTGGGTGAGTTCCCTGGAACACCGGGGACACATATTCATGTATAAAAGACGTACAAAAGTGCATTTTGCATGATAGGTCCCCTTTAAGCAGAGCTACCGGGGGCAAGAGGTACACGCACTGTATCAGCAGCAGTGTGTGTGTCAGTGAGGGGTCTGCTCTCTGAGGGTCAGCTGACTCCTCAGACCCTGCTGTCTGTCACATGTTCTCCTGGTTAGCCACTGTTGGCAGTGTTAGCTGTTCCACGTGGCAGCACCGTGTGGAAGAGGAGCCGCTATAGCACGGAACTAAACCTGTTTCTAACTCTCTCTCTCCTCAGAACAAAGACCCCCGGCCCCGGAGCGCAGTCTGCTCTCAGAGCGCTGGCTCGGTCCGGCATGAAGATCGGACGCATCGGTGAGACACACACTGTCACACACACTGTCACACTGTCACACTGTCTCACTGTCACACAGTCACTGTCTCACACACTCTTTCTGAACTTTGACCCTGACCCCTCGTGTCTCCCTGTCCCTGTCCTCAGAGGATGTGACCCCCATCCCCTCAGACTCCACCCGGAGGAAGGGAGGTCGTCGCGGTCGCCGTCTGTAACTGCTGCCACGTTTTCTGACAATAAAGAGTTTAAAATCCATCTCAGTTTCTGGCTCTTTGTTTGATATTCAGACTCTCCTTCAGTGCCAAGTGTGTCTCTCTCTCTCCCTGTCTCTCTGTCCTGTCTCTCTGTCCGTCTCTCAGTCCTGTCTCTGTCCTGTCTCTCATGCCCCTTTCACACCAACGCAACTCCGGTTCAAGCTCCGTGCTAGAGCTTTTCTGGTTCAGAACCGGTTCTTCGGTTTAGCGCCGGCTCTTTTCACACCGCTCAGAGCCCGACTGGTGCTGCCGCTGCTGCGTCATGACGTCACAGTTTACGTCGCTGAGTTTCTCCCCAACGCCGGAGCTCACCTCACAATAACAACGGGCCGGGGACTGCGTTGCTTTTAATCATACGAAGCCAGATTAAATTAAATAACGACTTCTCCAACCTTATACTTTTCTCCAGAGTGCCGTGGTTCATTGTTTATTAATGTGTTTCAGCGGCATTTATCGACCGCTGCAGTGCTCTTCCACGAGTGTATTCTCCCGTTAGCTCCGGGTTAGCTCACACGGCTCTAAAGTATTCACTGTCTGACTGTCACACAAGCAGCTGATACATATCCCCAGTTCCCCTTAAGTGAATGTGTGTCAGTCTGAATTGACGCTGTTTGGCATCACAACGCTGTTATGAAAGTTTCTCTGGTATAACATGGGTGATGTTAGCATAGCAACCGAAGCTAAACTGACTACTTGCTAAGCCGTTTTCTACAGGCACTTTTTACCGACGTATTTTTCATTATGATTCTACTTGTGATAGTCGGACATGACAACCTGTGCAGCCCATGTATTGATTCCATCCGATAGCTGCTATAATAACAAACAAAACGTCTGCCTGCTCTCCACAATGATCAATAACAGCGAACGGATGGTCAAAGTAAGGTACAAATAAACAGAATCACACGAAGCCTGGTTAGTGTTGCCTGACTTTATAAAGTGTGTTTTTTTTAACAAGTGTGTGGTTGCGTTCTAGTCACTTTGCTCAGCACTACTGCTGGTTACAACTTTTATTTGCCGTACTCGCCTTAAGTGTTAGCTCAGGTTAATCTCGCCCCCCTCCGACGTAAGCGTGACGTATGCGGTTCTTGCTTCTAGACGGACAACTTTTTGGTGCTCGAAACGAACCGGATTCCGGAGCTTAGAGGCTGCTCCGCTGCGGTGTGAACAGGAAAACCCGGTGCTTTTCAAGCACCAGCACCGAACCGGCCCTGAAACACCGTTGGTGTGAAAGGGGTATCAGTCTGTCTCAGTCCTGTCTCTGTCTGTCTCTGTCCTGTCTCTCAGTCTGTCTCTGTCCTGTCTCTCAGTCTCTGTCCTGTCCTAACAGAAATATCTAAAAACATATTACTGCAGAGCAAGTGTGTTATTTAAGAAAGAGGTGTGTTTGTTTGTTCAGGGGCTATAAATATAATGATTTTTTTTATTTGAATGGGTTTTTTAAATTCAACAGTGTACTACAAAGATAATCAGGTTATGAATAAACCGTTCTAAATTGAAATAAATGTATTATTAAAATAATATTTAACTGTTATCAAAACGTAGTGCAACTGTAGAAGGTTGTCTCACTGCAAGAATCACTTTGAACATGTGTTTTTACAGTCAGTACGCAGAGACAAAGGGTCGCAGCTCTCACTGTTCAATCATATTTGCCTTAAATACATTGAAATGTGAAAGTTGAACAAAAAAGTGATGTTGCTTGGTAAAATGTAAGCTTTTGCTAAGAAAGTACACTCAACATCACTGATGTGTAGGTGATCTAGTATTTAGTCATGTTTAATGGCATGTGTATTTGAGTCATTACTTTATTTTTTTAAACCAATAACTTTATGCATTCTTTGTAAAGTATGAAGAAGGTGTACCTTGGAATCCGTGCTGAAGTTCTCTGTTAGGAGTCCAGATCTGTCTCTCCTCCTCTGGTCCAACCTGTCTGGATCACCTGAAGGACACTTTGAACAAACGGATGTAAAGTTACATGCGTGGCTTACAGACTTCTTTACATGCAAACAACTTTTTATCTTTTAAAAACAGGTCATAATCTTATTGTTATACTTAAGAAATGGCTGGATATCACAGTCCTTATACTGTATCAGTTTGAGTGTTATTGTGTAGGTCCTTTTTATTTTACTGTTACTTTGGATGATTTCTTCACGAGTCAGTCAAATTCATTAGTTTTCATATGTCATTCATATGTATCACACACGTAAGGGTAAGACACAAACCTATTTAACAAATGCAATGCAATGGATAAGCTTAATTTTCACTGAAGTCACAGATAACGTCATATCTAATATTTAAACAAATCATTTCCTAGTCACTAAAGCATTGACTACGCTATTCATGGTCCTTAAATGCAGGCATTAAGTTCCATGTTCCGTGCTACAGCCACGATAAGGCTGTTTCTCAAGTGGGATGATCACACAAAGAACAGAGGCATTGGTAATAATAAGAACAACTACGTTTGGGTGGTTCGTCGGATAGGCGGTTAGCTGCAAGAAATAACAGTTGAACAAACCACATTACAATATCTACGGGAGCGTTATTTCTGGACCATCTTGAAATGTGACGTTCATATTTTAAAGATACACACATTTTATTGTGAGGTTACGTTGACGTTAGCTAGTCTATTGTATGCTATAGCAGAGCATAGCGAATTTAAATGAACCTTAACAATGCATACCGGGGACGTGCACAGACACTTTGGGAGGCGGGTGCTCGAGGGAGAAAAAGGGCACTTCCCATAATCATTTATAAAAAAATGTTTTAAAACAAAAAGTTAAATATAGTTGCAAATCTCTGACTTACTGACCAGTTCATTGTAATACCCTCACACTCACGTAGTGTTTAATACTAAGCAGAACTAATAATTTTTCAGAAATAATGTCCCATGGAGGTCCACCGGAAGGGGAGGGACTTCGCCACTCTATATTATGTATAGAGTGGCGAAGTCCCTCCCACTTACTTCCGGGGTATGGGACCTTATTCCGGAAAAGTTATGCATTGAAGTCAATGGGGAGAGAAAACTTATCTTTCGATCCCGTTTGAATTGTGCCATGAATTACACATATGATGTTTGTCAATCTTAAAAAATCATTTCCATGTCAAAAAAGTCACAGTTTGTCGTAAAACTGTTGAAATATAGACTATGAAAAATACGTAACTAGAAAGACTACAAATCCCAGAGTCGCGTAAGTGATGTCACAATTGTTTACCTCCACCATTCAGATACCTAAGATCAGCGCAATATAGATATAATCTATCTATATGGCGCTGGCTAAGATAAGATAACTTTAACAAGATGCCTGTGTGCTTAGTACCAGGTTGTTATTATACCAGCAATGGGTCTTGCTCGTTCTTTTGCTTCCCGTCTGATGAAACGACCAGGAGTGGCTTGATCAAGTTAGCTACCTAGCTAGTAGCTAGCACGTTAGTTAGCATTACAGCCTTGTCATTTTTATTAGCCTTAACATGAAGTAACATTAAGTAACCCAAAATGTTAAACAGTAAGAGTAGTAGTCATATTTCGTGAACCCTTTGAATAGTACTGTCACCGGTGTGATCATTCTATAATACACCATTTAATTCCGGGGGAGAAATGCTAACGTTAGCATCGGCGATCTTTTCTACTTCCTGCTATCTGCACAAATGGTTGACATTAAACATTAAAACGACCAGGCAGTTCAGAGAGAATCAAAGGAAGGCAGGCAGGCAGCTTTGCATGACATTCTTCAGGACGTGTTTCATTGTGGTGATAGTCAATCGTTTGTTGACAAGACAGTAGTGACGGCCATCTTGGTGATGTGTGTTGTTGACCAGAGATGTAGTTCATTTAGCGTTTCACACAAACAAATGTGTTACTTCACAGTTTTACGACACATTTTTTTTTTTTTTTACTTGCAAAATTATCTTTTAAATTGACAAACATCATATGTGTAATTCGTGGCACAATTCAAACGGGATCGAAAGATAATCTTTCTCTCTCCATTGACTTCAATGCATAACTTTTCCGAAATAAGGTCCCATGGGGCTCAACCGGAAGGGGAGGGACTTCGCCACTCTATAGAGTGGCGAAGTCCCCTCCCCTTCCGGTGGACCTCCATGGGAAATAAGGTCCCATGGAGGTCCACCGGGGCCCTTTCTCATGTCATCAAATGTCCCTCCTCGACTCCTCGGTCCTCCGGTAGTGACCCGGAAATGAATTTTAGCGCGCCATGTTGAAGGACATCTCATTTCTCGAAATGCACATCGAGGACCGAGCATCGAGCGTCGAGGAGGCTCTCTGGAGGAGCTATAACCGAGGATACACTGATGGGTCCTCCACGGCTCCTCCGTGGATGCATTTCCGGCAACAGTGATGTTTCAAAGAGTCGAGACGCACGGCCGGACTTATCTCAGCCAATGACAGCTCTGCATGCATCCCCTGGATATTATTTTATTAACTGCTTTCATCGCGACGCGATGTTTACAGTGAGAACAGCTGTGAGGTCCGTGCAGGAAAGCAGAGGCAGTGTGTATAATATATATCATATCACTCAGTATAACAGGCCTACTCTCTTTATTTGCTTTAGTTTAGTAGATATCTACAAACAAAGTCGATATTTTTCTAAAACCATTTAGTGCTTCACATAATAAAATACACAACGGCTGTAGCCTGATTATATGCTTTAGGAGCTGTAGGTGCGTGTGTGTGGTACAGTGTGTGCGTAGATGCAGCGGACAGACAGGTCTCAGTTGGTTTGGTCATTTATTTCCCTCATTGTAGCGACCAGAGAGGGGGGGGGATATATCCAGTCTCTGATAGTGTTACGTTATTATGAGAGTGCTCTGTTTGATTCTGAAATTGTATATAGCCTATTTATATAAATATATACATATATGTGTGTGTGTGTCTGTGTGTATGTCCGCATCTGTAGCCTGTTATTGTCTCATTATACCGCACTGTGAATGAATTAAAAGTAAATATATAAGTCGTCATGAACACATCTGTCCATCAGACAGAGGGCTGCTGTGCCTCCTGTCATCATTAATGGACGTCTCTTTAAAATGACCGCTCAGAGGAGAGGAGTTCTCATTTCTCTAACCGCCTGCTGCTTCCCCTCCTCACTCCTCGGTTCCCCTCCTCGGCTCCTCCACTAGCATCTCCTGTGGGCGGGACTAGAGGCTGCTCCGCTGCGGTGTGAACAGGAAAACCAGAGCACCTTTGAGTTCTTTGTAACCAAATCTCTCTCAGAGGGGCGTGGGGAGGGGCTCCTTATTTTCATCTAAAGTAACAGACAGAGAATCAGCACTTTGGAAACAGGGCTGAAACAGAGGGGATTATGGGTAATGCTGCAATGATCTGTTTGTTGTTTGGAGCCAATCAGAGACAGGCTCTGGATATATCTGAGACCTGTAATATATTGATGAGAAACAGTATAATAGGACCTTTAACGTTTTTTACATAGATATGAGCCTTTTTAAAGGAGCACAATGCTGTTCTAATTTCTTATACGATCACAGGTGTATTTGAAAAACATAGGCTTTTTAGTGTGAATTTCCTTGCAGACAAAAGAATATATTTAATGATTGACACTGTGGACTACATTGCTTTTCCCCCCACTGTTTTATTTACGGTCAGAATTGAGTTCAATTTAGTTCACTTGAAATAAAGTGTGAGCAACACTTTGAAATGTGTGGGTGGAGCGTGCGTCTGATTAACACCTGTGCCACGTCAACAGGGATCGGCTTCTTGACTCACACGTTAAAGCTCTGGAGGCGCTGATTTCTTTGCCTTCCTTGGCCGATTTATTTACTTCCATATATTTAAACAAACAAAATGATCAGTGTAACGTTAAAGACTGTTCCGATTCCCCGTTCATTGCTGGAGACGATTTCCACATCACGCTCAGTCCCACCCCTTCCTTATATAACAGGTGTGGCACTAAATCAAATTTTCCTCAGAATAATTAATTCAGTACTAATACATAAATGGAAAGAATATATTAAGATCTAAATTAATAAGAAAAGAATACACTCATTGTCAACACAGAGAATGGCTCTAACATTCATATAATGATATAAAACACTCACATGACTCTAGCTTTGAATCATCATGCAGAATCTGCTGGTTTGTTTTCCCATCATCGTAACATCTTTATCTTTTTACCAACGCAGGAAACGAGGGCAGTGTGCAGAAGTTTTATAAAAGATATATCAGAGTGACACATTGATCTGCATCACAAGTACGAACCTTTAACTGATTATGAAAAAGTGTTTGACTTGTTAACTTTTTAACATGTGACATTTTAAAACAGCCCCCATTTAATTTGAAAATTAAAACAACATATTTCTGAAAGGGTTTTAAGATTGGAGTAAAAATAAACTTGAACATAGTGCTTTTGTTTCCTGCTGATGGGTATTTTTACCCAAAGAATAATAAAAGAATCATGTGATGCCTGTGGGTCCATCAGTGGAGAGGGTGTGGCTGTCCTGTCTGTGCTGCATTGATTGCACTGATTGCAGTAACTCAGGGCACCTGGGTCTGGTGCCCTATTTAAAGCCTCTCTGCTCCTCCCTGTGCTCTCTCTGATTTTCCCTACAGGCCTCCGGTTTTGTTGAGTATATGCTGTTGTTACTTTAGTTGCTTTACTTTGTGCACCTCAACACCCTCACACATACACGTCCATGCAACCCTCACCCTGCACGTCCATGCAACCCTCACCCTGCACATCCATGCAACCCTCACCCTGCACGTCCATGCAACCCTCACCCTGCACGTCCATGCAACCCTCACCCTGCACGTCCATGCAACCCTCACCCTGCATTTACACTACTGATATCACTGACGTCCACACCTCATGCTTTACTTATTGTTGCACTTCATTTGATTTGGCTAATTTGAATTGTTTGGTTAAATTGGTGTGTCTCCTCTTTGGTGTGTAATAATAATAATAATAATAATGGGTTCCATTTATAAAGCACTTCATATTCGAATTCAAATCCCGAAGTGCTACAAGCAGTGAGCATGAACAGTATAAATAGACATGACACAACACGGTAGAATTAATAAAAAACAATAAAAAATAAATAAAAAATAAATAAAAGGGTGGTAAAAAGGTCTAGGCAAAGGCTCTTTTGAAGAGATGGGTTTTGAGGCCTTTTTTAAAAGCCTCCACGGTCTGTGGTGCTCTCATGTGGTCGGGGGGAGCGTTCCACAGACTGGGAGCAGCCGAGCAGAAGGCCCGGTCTCCCATAGTACGGAGCTTAGTCCTGGGGGGTCTGAGGAGGTTGGAGTTGCTGGAGCGGGTGGTCCGCAAGGAGGTATGGGGGGTGAGGAGTTCCTTGAGGTAGGGAGGGGCAGTTCCATGGATGCACTGGTGGGTGAGGACGGAGACCTTGAATTCGAGCCTCAGTTCCACGGGTAGCCAGTGTAGTGCTTTAAGGATGGGGGTGATGTGGTCATATTTGCGCACCCTCATCAGGATCCTAGCAGCGCTGTTCTGGATGTTCTGGAGCTTCTGGATGCTTTTGTTAGGGATCCCGATGAGGAGTGCGTTGCAGTAGTCCAGCCTGGAGGAGACAAAGGCGTGGACTAGCTTTTCGGCGTCAGACAGAGTGAGTGTGGGGCGGAGTTTGGCGATGTTCCTGAGGTGATAAAAGGAGTTCTTGCACAGCTGTTTAATGTGAGCCTCAAAGGTCAGATGGGCGTCCATTTTAACACCCAGGTTGGTGACTATTGAGGAGAGGGTAATGTCCTGGCCAGAGAAGGTGATGGTGGATGACCGAACCTGGTGTGGGGTGCCAACTATGTGGGGTGTGTCTCCTCTTTGGTGTGGCCTTTTGAGCCGGGTCGTAACATCTTTATTATATGCTTTATTTAACGCTACACTTTCATTCTGGTTTATTCTCAACATCCTAATTCATGTTGATCAATAATAAAGCACTTTAAAATAAAGTTTGATTTATGTATTTATTGAAGGGGATAAAAAAACTATAAAATAGACTTGTTTGGTTATTGAATACAATATAAATACATATTACAAATATACACAATATAATTATTATTTAAATGTTTTCGTTGCCAGATCTGTGTGTGTGTGTGTGTGTGTGTGTGTGTGTGTGTGTGTGTGTGTGTGTGTGTGTCACCTCCCAGCTGATCGGAGCGATGGGGAAACAGGAAGGCGTCTCCGGTCAGTTCGAGGCTCTGGACATCCTGTCAGACATGTTGGGAAGGTAACTGGACATCCTGTCAGACATGTTGGGAAGGTAACTGGACATCCTGTCAGACATGTTGGGAAGGTAACTGGACATCCTGTCAGACATGTTGGGAAGGTAACTGGACATCCTGTCAGACATGTTGGGAAGGGAACTGGACATCCTGTCAGACATGTTGGGAAGGGAACTGGACATCCTGTCAGACATGTTGGGAAGGGAACTGGACATCCTGTCAGACATGTTGGGAAGGGAACTGGACATCCTGTCAGACATGTTGGGAAGGGAACTGGACATCCTGTCAGACATGTTGGGAAGGGAACTGGAGGAAGTTCTTAAGAGAAAATGATTCATGGAGAAAGTTTGTCTTTTGTTATATTTAATAAAGTAATAAAGAAAGTCAAAATAAAAGTGAAACCGATCCCAAATGTTGGAACAGAGCTACGTCATCCTCAGAGGATAGAGAAGTTCAGAACACAGCTTACAGGCACATTATATAGTAGAGAGAAAATCCAACTGGTCCCCCTCGCCCTTAACCAATTGCATATTCCCCTTTTACATTTCCCTTTGCCTCCTGAGATGTAAACCCTTAACATATGTCTCTGTTAAACACATACAAGACTAAACATACAATTTAACAGAGTAAAAGGCAACCAGAGTAGAAGTCTATATGTTTGAAATGATGATATGATAGTTTGACACGACAGTAACCACAAAACATTATAACACATTTCAAGCAGCTTTGGTTAAGATCGAAATGTCTCTTATAATTAGCTCATTTAAATTGTTCAATTGTTAATATATGATGAATGTTCACATTATACTGAACTCCAGCATTCTCTTTGTGTTAATTGACTAATTCATTATTAATTTTGTTTGAATGATGTGTCTTTCACAGGCTGAGCGGTGCTCTCCAGTCTGCTCCCTCAGGTAACACATAGATGACTAAAGACAAGAGGGAATATGATATCAAATGATATATGATCAAATCAGAATATTAGTAGCAATAATAGTTTTTTTGATAATATTATTATATGTTATTTTATTGTATTTATTTGTATCAATCATAGTTAATTAAGTTATATTAGAATGAAATGAAAACCTAGCCATGCAATAAAGTCATTAGGATAAGGAAAAAAGTCAAAGTCAACTTTATTGTCAATCTTCCAGTTTGTGTGTACAGACCTTTATATATACAGTCTATGGTACAGACCTTTATATATACAGTCTATGGTACAGACGGAGAGATCGAAATACCATCTCCCACAATACAGAATACTATAACAAAGATATATAAAAATATGTATAAAATATGTATATCCTATATATACACAATCAACAGACACATTTATACATATGCACACATTAAAGGTGGGGTAGGTAAGTTTGAGAAACCGGCTCGAGATACACTTTTTGTTATATTCCATGGAATGCTCTTAACATCCCGATAGCAATGAATATCTTAAGTGCTTTGACAAAAAATCCATTAAAAAATGTCATCAGTGGAAGCCGTAGTACTGTAAAAAGTACGACCAATCATTTTAGCCGGCCCGGCTAAAGTAACTGGATGGCCTACCTGCCTGTCAGCCTTCCATCTGTGCACAAACTTATCTCGTGCCCTCATTGGTCAAGTGCGCGTTCGTGTGTGTTGGAGGAGGGGCTCTATAAGGAAGTGGCAGATTTCTTCCAGCTGTGTATTTTCAAATTCTAGCGATCTCGAGCCGGTTTCTCCAAAATTACCTACCCCACCTTTAAGATAAAAGCACAACAATCAATATATACAAAATAACAGTCACTTCAATATCTTTGGGAATGTACAAAAACAAAGTTTAGTATCTGAAAACAAAGAGTAAGCATCTCAAAATAGGGATGTTTTAATGAACTGCCTACCCACGTTGCATATTGGTTGTGAGTTAAAATAGACACCCTTCAGATAAACCTAATATCCATCCATCCCTCCGTCAGCTGACCAGCTCCAGGATGGCGGTGAGGAAGCGCTCCATCTTGGCTCTGGGTCACCTGGTTCCCTGCTGTAGACCCGCCCTCTTCTCCCAGCTGACTGAACACCTGACCAATGAGCTCGCAAAGGCCCCGCCCGTTTCCATGGCGAGGACGTACATCCAGTGCCTAGCAACCGTCAGTCGTCAGGGCGGCCATCGAGTCGGTGAGATCTGCTGCCACGCTCACGTGATACTAGATTTAAGGACAACACATTGGTTTCCTGACTGAGGAAGGCCATTTCTGCACGTAGAGTAACAAAATAAAATGAAAACATTTAGATTGTTTGCCTTGTGATGAAAGACAAAGAGAATATTCTGGTCATTTCAATTAGAAAAGTTTCAACAATGAGTTATTATCTCAAAATAATGACATGGTATCTTGGTAATGATGAAATACCTCAAACCTTATGACACAGTATCTTAAAATAGTGACTTAATATCTAAGAAATAATTACTTAGTATCTTAAAATGAATGAGTTAATATGCTAAAATAATGATTAGATATCTAAAAATAATTCTTTAGTATCATCTTTTTTCCACCGTACCTTTTGGATATCAGTTTCCATCTCGATTACTAACATACTTTTATTTTGAAAAGATCTTAATTTTGACATTTTCATTCTCAATTTACGACAAAAGAACACATCTAGAAACTCATAAGCTTTGGTGTGTGTGTGTGTGTGTGTGTGTGTGTATGTGCGTGTGCGTGTATGTGTTCGTGTGTGTGCGTGTGTGTGTGTGTGTGTGCGCGCGCGTGCGTGCGTGCGTGTGTGTGTAATAATCAGACAGTCTGGATCAAAGTGAAGTTTCTTTAATGTTTCCACAGAATTTAAATAAAGACACAAAGCAGAAACAAATGATAGAAAAAAATATAAAGATTTAAAACAACAAGCGAAGGCAACGTTACCCACAATGCACTGCGGGAGGACTGTAGGTGCACTTCAATATCTCTTCATGTATTTACTGAATTATTTACTCCTCAGATACTGCTTGTCTCTCCTCCTCCTCTTCTCCGGGGGACGTTTTGTCTCCGTCAGTATTCACGGTGTCTCCTGTGTTCACGGTGTCTCCTGTGTTCACGGTCTCTCCTGTGTTCACGGTGTCTCCAGTGTCTCCGTCTGTGTCTCCGGTGTCTCTGTCTGTGTCTCCGGTGTCTCCGTCGTAGATGATGTCCTCGGGGTTGGGAGCTGGAGGACAGAACTCCTCTTCAGGGAGAATCTTCTGGAAGATGGACTCAGCCTGAACAGAGAGAGAGACTTCAATCAACTTTATCTGTTCAACCAATGAGCTCCACCTTCCTCAAGTAAGCCCCGCCTCCCATCATTAAGCTCAACCTTCCTCAAGTAAGCCCCACCTCCCATCATGAAGCCCCGCCTTCCATTATTAAGCTCCACCTTCCATCATGAAGCCCCGCCTTCCATCATTAAGCCCCAACTCCTATCATAAATCTCACCTGTCTGTCTCTCACCTGTCTGTCTCTCTCACCTGTCCCCCCTCTCACCTGTCTGTCTCACCTGTCTGCCCTCTCTCACCTGTCCCCCTTCTCACCTGTCTGTCTCACCTGTCTGTCTCTCTCACCTGTCCCCCCTCTCACCTGTCTGTCTCTCTGTCTGTCTCACCTGTCTCTCTCTCACCTGTACCCCCTCAGACCTGTCCCCCCCTCACCTGTCCCCCCTCCCGCCTGTCCCCCCCCCCTCACCTGTCCCCCCCCTCACCTGTCCCCCCCTCACCTGTCTCACAGCGTGCTCGTGTCCCAGCTCAGAATCAGGTCCTGAGCTCAGGTGAACGTTCTCTGGGAGGTCGTGACCTTCAGCCTCCACACCTGAGCCGTCGGCCATGTTGAAGAAGAGACACCAGAGGACAGAGGGGCCGTCTGGGGGACAGGTGAGAGGGGGGGGGGCAGGTGAGAGGACAGGTGAGAGGTGGGAGGACAGGTGAAAATATAACAATAAAATACAATTCTAAACCAAATGAAGACAAAACGTTGAAATGATATTATTAAATATGAATAATAATGTAGATTCCTCAGGAGCTCGTTAGCTCTCCTCCTCCATCACCTGAGACTCACCTGCACCATCCATCCTGAGGGAGGGGGGGGGGGGGGTGAGTGAGTGTGTGTGTGTGAGTGAGTGAGTGGTGTTGTGTGTGTGTGTGTTGTTGTGTGTTGTGTAGGTGTTATGTGTGGTGTGTGTATGTGTGCGAGTGTGTCTGTGTTGCGTGTGTGGAGTGCAGTGCGTGAGTGAGCGTACTGTGTGTGTGTCTGTGGTGCTGTGTGTATGTGTGAGTGTGTTTTTGTGTGTGTGAGGTAGAGCAGTGTGTGTGAGTCGGGTAGTGTGAGTAGGTGAGTGAGTGCATGGCAGTGTGTGTGTGTGTGTGTACGTGTGAGTGTGAGTGTGTGTATGTGTGTGTGTGGTGTGTTGTGTGTGGTGTGTGTGGTGTGTGTGTGTGTGTGTGGTGTGTGTGTGTGTCGTGTGTGTGTGTTTGTGAGTAGTGTGTGTGTGTGTGAAGTGTGGTCCTGCAGGGTTGTTTAACCAGCCGGGTGTGATGATATGAGAGAGACCTGGAAGGTCAGAGAGGAGACACTTTAACATGGAGTGTGTGTGTGTGTGTTACCGTGGTCAGGTGACTCTGGCGTGCGGAACATGCTGGTAACCAGGGGCGACAGGTCCTGGTGGGCGGAGCCGACTGACGGACAGGTGAGGTGGACCAGGTCTGCAGGTGAGGATGAAACATTCAGTGGTTAACGAGCCTGTTTCTGTTTCGGCCAATCAGCTCGTCCTGAACATCCTGCTTTATTTTGAAATGTAGACTTTAACGTGTGTGTGTGTGTGTGTGTGTGTGTGTGTGTGTGTGTGAGTGTGTGTGTGTGTGTGTGTGTGAGTGTGTGTTTGATCGATGATGTTTTGTTTTGAAGGCGTTCAGGCCCACTGACTCAGTAACCAATCACACACTGCAGCATCACCAGAGAAGATGAGACACACAGATCAGTGTTAGGTTCTCCTGCCAGTCACCCTGCTTTACTTTACATACTTAATAAAGTTACAAAGGAACTACAGCACGGTCACATACCTCACCTCCGCTAAGCTAAAGGAGGCTAATGTTGGGCTATAAAGGAACACTACGGCGACGGTCACATGACCTCACCACCGCTAAGCTAAAGGTGGCTAATGGTTGGGCTATAAAGGAACTACGGCACGGTCACATGACCTCACCTCCGCTAAGCTAAAGGAGGCTAATGTTGGGCTATAAAGGAACTACGGCACGGTCACATGACTTCACCAACCGCTAAGCTAAAGGAGGCTAATGTTGGGCTATAAAGGAACTACGGCACGGTCACATGACCTCACCACCGCTAAGCTAAAGGAGGCTAATGTTGGGCTATAAAGGAACTACGGCACGGTCACATGACCTCACCTACCGCTAAGCTAAAGGAGGCTAATGTTGGGCTATAAAGGAACTACGGCACGGTCACATGACCTCACCACCGCTAAGCTAAAGGAGGCTATGTTGGGCTATAAGGAACTACGGCACGGTCACATGACCTCACCACCGCTAAGCTAAAGGTGGCTAATGTTGGGCTATAAAGGAACTACGGCACGTCACATGACCTCACCCACCGCTAAGCTAAAGGTGGCTAATGTTGGGCTATAAAGGAACTACGGCACGGTCACATGACCTCACCACCGCTAAGCTAAAGGTGGCTAATGTTGGGCTATAAAGGAACTACGGCACGGTCACATGACCTCACCACCGCTAAGCTAAAGGAGGCTAATGTTGGGCTATAAAGGAACTACGGCACGGTCACATGACCTCACCACCGCTAAGCTAAAGGAGGCTAATGTTGGGCTATAAACAGGGGTGCACATAACTTTTTTAGTGAGTTACTCAGATGAGTACCAAGAGACAGCGTTTGGTACTCACCCCACACGAAGCGTGGTCCTCCTCAGTGTCTCCTTCACTGTCCTCAATTTACACTTCTTGCATGCTAGATGATGAAGATGATGAAGATGCACCTCCCTGTCTCTTTTTAAGCCTCCGATTTGCTTTCTCCAAAACTTGTTGCCAAAACTGTGAAGTCCTTGCATTTCCTGAGGCCAAGTTGAAGGATCAAATACTAAGAAATGATCACATGACTTGAAGTCATATCTGATTTCAAATGTGGGAAGTAACAAAGCACACTTATTTACTCAAGTACAATTTTGAGATACTTGTAGTTGACTTGAGTATTTCTATTTTATGCTACTTTGTACTTCTACTTTTACTCCACTACATGTATTTAATACCTTTAGTTACTTTACAGATGTGGATGAATGATGTGAAATCTAATCAAGTGTTAAATCAGACTTTAGTTCCACCTGGAGTAAATCCACAAGCTACCCTGCAGTATACAAAGTCATTCAAACTAGCTGCTCCTTTACCAGCTTTGAGAACACTTTCATGATCAATCATTATAAAACATATCATATATATTATTCTGAAATGGACCAATCTGCACAATGACTACTTTTACTGTCTCTACTTTCACTATATTTTGATAATACTTTTCTAATTTTACTTGAGTAACATTTTGAATGCAGGACTTTTACTGTAACAGAGTATTCCTACACAAGATCTGAGTACTTCTTCCACCTCTGTCTGATTTCAAACTCTTCCATAACACCCTGAGTAAGTTTGCAGCTGTGTGTTTCACTCCACTTTGGTGTAAATAAACTGCAGCAGCTTGACCACAGAGCGTGAACGTTGTGATCAGATGATTTTGCGCAGTTCTCCAGTGTGTGCGCGGGGCACAGAATGTGCACAGGGGAGTCTCCCACCGCAGCCAGTTGGCGGACTTTTGGCACAATTCTGTTGTTTATACCGACGTTAACCCTGTCTGTGCACACGGCGACCAACTCTGTCGTCCAGTGATCTAAGCCTCTGCCTCCTGGAAAGCTTCACAGGTCCGTCGGTTATGTCCTGCGCGGCTCACCCAGCTCCAGTTCAATCAGTCATAGAAAGATTTTTTGCAGGGAGCGAAACGGCAACGTAGCTGCTTAATGTCTTTGGGTTTTTTGACATGCCTAGTAGTTTACTCCATTGAGTGTTGACAAGAAACACGTGTAGACGAAATATGTGTTTTGTTTTGATGTTTTGAGGTACGCAAAGGCGCGTAGTGACACAAGTGACGTTACGCAATTCAGATTTGTGCCGCGCATGCGTACCTGCGTACCAGTTATGTGCACCCCTGGC